GAAGATGCTGTATTAAGCGAAAGTACTTGGGCAAGATTTAGTTGTTAAAATTGTGCTCGATATTTTTCTTTTATTTTCAAAGTTCATTAAAATATGGTCAGGTAAACATAAAAAATTGTAAGTAACTACTTCGTAGCCTATAGAAATCTGCAAAACCAATAAGCCTTTTTATAACAATTGATAGACTACATGATGTACTAAACTGCTTGATTATTTGAAAAATCTTGAAAAAGCCGATTCACTCCGAAGGCGATACCTAGAACAAAAATAAGCGTACATTTTCAAAGAAATTACAAAATAAAACCTGGCATTGTTTTTTTTAATTTTGATTTCTCTTGTAGTTAGTATAATTAGCAGATACCTAGAATCTCTTAGTCGCATATAGTCATGTTAACCATAACCACCTGTATAATTATTGATGTTCTTTGTCTAATGGGTTATTGTTTTTAAAAAAACTACGTCTTATGAATATACGACTATGTGTTGTTGATTAAGTAGAATTTAAGTAATGCTAAAGAGTTTCAAATTTAAATTTAATAGATTTTAAAACGTCTAATAATTTCGTTGGTTTCGTCATTACGCACGATGAAATACAAAACACAAAAATAATAACTGAAATTATCTCACTAAATTTATTCCTTGGCGTCATCTATCGTGGTTCAAGAAAAGTATTATACATACAACCAACACACAATATACAATAGAGGAATAACAGTTTACTGTAAACGGCAAACTAATTTTAAATATAATAGTTAGATGCCTCGCCTTTAAAATTCAAATTAACAATATTATTTGTAGTCAATTACAGTACACACATCGATATTTTATAAGACAGAGACAAGTAAAAAGCTCGGATTCCTTCGAAAAAATATTTCCACAAAATTTATTTGCACAATCACTTTCATGAGATATCCCAAAATAAGGTTCAAGAGGTCGCCCAGTCGAAAAATTTTTCAAATTTTTTTTAACAAATTCTAACAATCAATTTTTTAGACCCGGATAATTTTTTTTTAATTTTTTGGATCATTCTGAACAAAATAGATTTGTTGTAGTTTTCTGTAAACTGAATCGTTTTCAAGTAATAAATATTTTGAAATTTAGAAAAACGCAAAATTACGATTTTCAGGCTTAAAAACACAAGTAAAAAACATTATTTGTAAATTCACCAAGAACCTAAATTCAAGTTAAAACCTATCATTTCTCGATGATTTTAATTTTAATTTATTTTAAATTAATTTTAAAATATTGGGAGAAACAAGATCTAGAGCACAAATTATTGCGGGTTTAAATTTTCATTGTACAAAAGAGCACCCACATTGCCATACGCGCTTCATTCTTAATTAAGAAACAATGATTATTTATTATTAATTATTATTTATTATTAAACAATGATTACTTATTTACGCACCAAGGGTGCTTTTAAGACAATTACGTCCGGAGAGCAAATCCTGCCAGAGAGCCTGAGGGATGGATGTGGCTCGATTAGGGTAGTCATCCAGTAACACCAGTGGTAGATACAAAATTTAATCTTTTACTTCAGATAAAATAAAACCTAACATTGTGACGTTTTTACTTTTTATTTTACTGCATCTACAAGCTATATATGCATATTTTGTATGTACCACCGGATGATTATTTCCATCGAGCAGCATCCATCCCTCCATTCCTCGAGCCAGAGGCGCTCTGGCTGAATTATGTTGCTCTCCGGGCGTGATCATCTTAATAACACCCTTCCTGCATAAATAATTATTAAACCATTGCTTTTTAATTGATAATAAAACGCTTATGGTAGGGAAAGGCAAGAAGCGGACATCTCAGACCAAACATCTAGTTAATACACCTGTTTTCGAAAGTTCTTAGTTTGGTTTAAAAAATTGGCTACTAAAATTATTGGTGAGGCAGTGGTTGGCAATACGTCCATAGTGTACAATTATGTTCACCCAGTAATCAAAACCCAATAAAGATTCATGATTATTGTTAAAAATTTAACATTTTAACAAAAATTAAAAGCTACCTAGAGGTAATGATAACAATATATATAGAAAATGCTGCCACGGATATTAAACTTATTTGAGAGCCACTATCACATTCAAAAAAGCATGTAAAAAGCTAAAAAGTCCCAATTTTTGGCCACCAGTATAAATAAGAATATTGTATTTATACTGGTGGCCAAATGGTGCAAATGGGGTCTCGAAGTCAACATTAAGAAAACTGAAGCCATGTGTATTGGAGGGACAAAACAGTCCATTATATTAGACGATGGGGTAGAACTTAGAAACTGTGGTGAATACAAGTACTTGGGTATGAAGATAACTCAAGATAGAACACTCGATGCTGCTATAAAAGACAGAAACATAGAGGGTAGAAAAGCCATATTTACGATGAAAGGCATTCTGTGGGACCAAACAATATCTAAAGCGAACAAACAACTCATATACAACACCATACTTAAAAGTGTAATCACATATGGCAGTTTGGCCAGTGAAACAAAGAACAGACAAACTGTTACAGTAACATAATTGGACTTCTGGAGAAGAGCAGCAGGTAAATCAAGAAGAGATCGGATACCAAATGAGAAAATACGAGAAATGATGGCGAGTCCAGCATACAATAGTTGATGACATAAAAACAGAACAGTTAATATGGTACGGTCATGTACAGAGAACGCCAGATGACAGGATTCCAAAACAGATTTTGACGTGGACACCACAAAGGAGAAGGAAAAGAGGAAGACCGAGAAGAAGCTGGAGAGAGGAAATTGAAAAAGAACTAGAGGAAAGAGAAATCTCTCCAGGCCTATGGTTGATTAGAGAAGAATGGCGGCTAGGAGTCGGACGGCGTCGGAGAACGCTGTAAACTGATAGTAGTAGTAATTCTGAAAAACCAAAAATGTAGTATTTTTTCCTTGCAAAGTCTTCTTCAAGCAGAAACATTTACTTACACACATCCTTTTAAACATTAAAATATAATAAACTAAGCATTTGAGACATACGTATAGTACGCAGGACTAACAGGTAAATGATCTTACGACATATATATATATATATATATATATATATATATATATATATATATATATATATATATATATATATATATATATATATATATATATATATATATATATACACTCAAAAATGTTTTGCATATTATCTGTAACGCCACTGAACGGTTCCAATTTAAAATTTTTTGCACTGATTTTTTTTGTCTACTAAAATAATGTATTTTACTGCTTGTTTTTTGTTTCTTAATCGTCGCAGAGATTCTAAGAATTCATATTGTGTTCATCAATTTTCGAAAACCGATATTTGTAAAAATTGGTTTGCGTTTTATTCACTTTGTAGTAAACAAGATGAATAGGCAAGTAGTATCTGAGTTCAACAGAGCTAGAATCGTTACCTTGATTGAGGAGGGCCACACACAAGTCGACGTTGCTGTCCAAGTTGGAGTTCATCAGAGTGATGTGTCTCGGATTGTGAAAAAATATCGAGAGACGAATTCTGTTAGCGATCGTCCAAAAAGCGGAAGACCCAGAATTACTACCAATGTCCAAGAACGATTTTTAACGTTAACTGCCCGGAGAAACCACTCTATGACTGCCCCAGCTATTAGAAGAGATCTCCAGCAAGCTCATAATATTGTAATTTGCGATCAGACTATTAGAAACAGGTTACATTCGGCGAATTTATTTACAAGAAGACCATTGTTTGTAATAAAGCTTACGTTAGAGCAGAAAAGGACTCGACTGGAATGGCCCTGGAATGAAATGGACTGGATTTACAATGGCATGACAACAGATGGGGAAAGGTCTTATTTTCTGATGAAACCAAAATTAGCCTTTTGTCGGATAATCTCCGAATTAGGATTTGGAGGAACCCAAATCGACAGGATAGACTTAACCAAGCTGTCCAAAGAGTCCCATATCAAGGTGGCTCTATAATGTTTTGGGGCGGTATCATGCTAAATAATAAAACTCCTTTAATTCCTATTGTTGGTAACATGAATGGACAAATTTATATTATTACCATTCTTAGGCCGGTTGTACGCTTGTGGCGAGGAGCTGTTGGTCCAGAATTTATTTTTATGGACGACAATGCGCCTCCCCATCGTACGAGACATGTAGCAGATTTTTTACAAACAGAAGATATCGTCAGATTACAATGGCCACCTTGCTGACCTGACCTTAATCCCATTGAGCACGGATGGGATATGCTCAAAAGAAAAATTCAGTCCCGGCAGCCACCCCCAAGGACACTACAAGACCTTAGAATAGCAGCGATTGAAGAATGGGGCACCATTGACCAGAACTACGTTAATACACTTATTAGAAGCATGGGACATCGCATTCAGTCTTGCATTGATGCAAGAGGTGGAAATACGGCATATTAAGTATTAGTTCTTATATCTGTACAAATTTAAAAAAATATATTTATAATACATATTATAAATAATAATAATAAATTGTTAATTCTTTAAATTTTGTTAATTGTTTCTTTTTCAAAATAAAACAATTTATAAATGTAATAAAGTATTTTGTTACAAAAAAAATAGATTTCACCAGATTTGATGGATAATTTTGAAAATATTACATTATGCAAAACATTTTTGAGTGTATATATATATATATATATATATATATATATATATATATATATATATATATATTTATACAACTATCCATAAGGTTTAAGGCAAATATAATTATATAATTGTTATGGTAATAAAAATCTTATTTAATTTTTCCAGCAAAAAACAAATACATAGTTATTTTCAAAAACGTAGAATATTTTTAAATATGAAACCATTCTCAAATTAAGAATTCTAAGGCGAAAAGCAGGATAACGTTCTTCCACAAAACATACTAGTTTTGTAATTAATTGTATAACTTTAATTAATAAATATTAAAATAATAACAGAATCAACTATTTTTATAAGATTTTATTATGAAAGCGTAGTATAAAAAACATAATCATAAAAAAATATACTCTAAATTCTAAACACTAATGATGATAATCGGAACCAAATCCTCCATATCCTCCTTTACCACCATGTCCAGCGGCAGCTGCACCAGCTGCCGCAGCGTTTGATTGTGCAAGATGAGCAGCTGCAGCTGCTTTCTGTGCTGCGGCTTCTGTTTGATGTAAATCGGCCAAACAGTTTTGAAGTTGGGCCGATAACTGACTAATGCGTTGTTTAGCTTCCACTACCATAGCATGCTGAGCAGCTGCTGCTTGTGCGGCTTCGCCGGCGGCTTGACTCGCTTGCTGAGCGCCCGCTTGGGCAGCAGTTACGGCTGCCGTTAAAGCACTAAGTTGGGCTTGTGCTTGATGGGCAGTATTCTCAGCAGCTTGAGCTGTAGCTTGAGTTTGTTGATATTGAGCTATTTCACCTTGAAGTTGTTGCTGAGCTTCTGCGAGTTGTCGCTTTATGCTACCAGCGAGTGCTTGTTTCCCGACCAAGGCGGCTTGGGCAGCTTGAGCAGCCTGAAATCAAAGGTATTGAATAGTCCAACGAACTATTTTAAACTTACAAATTAATGCAACTTAAAACAATATAAAAGAAAATTAAAAAAAATATATCTTAGTATTATACTAACAGTGATTTTTATCTACAGAATCCTATTGTTCAGTGGGAGCAACTAGTTTTAATATATTTTTAATGGTTATAAATACAGAGTGGACCAGAAGTCTGAAACTGCCTAGTTATCTCTTAAACGGATTTTTCTGATATCATTAGTCATTTTAACACTTTACGAAAGCCTTAAATAAATAGAAAATCTCATGCTAAATAGTCTGGAAGTAATTCAGTAAATATATAATGCTGTGATTTTGACATTAATTCATAAAACTAATATTGGCTTGACTTTGATTAAAATGTTTTGTAAAATAAATTGTAATAATAACTAAAGCTGACAGTTGTTTTATATGTTGTTAAAAGCTCTGCAATAAAGATGATTTTATTGAAAAAGAGCAAATTACTGTTTCAATGATGAGTGGATAATGCGATAGATAAAGATCTTATACTGAAGTAGCAAACTTGTTCAACAATAGAATTTAACTAAAAGAAATCTTTAAATAAACTTAATAATTACCCCATATGCAGCACTAGCTAAACTACTTTTGATACCAAATGCTGCTTGGCTACCAGCAGTGTGTTGATTCTGTACGGCATTGTTTGCTTGAACCGCCGACGAGTGTGCAAGACTAGCCAATTCAGCACCAGTTCCTTTGCCAGTATCATAATCGCCGCCTCCATGTCCATGTCCGCCTACACTATTTTCGTCGAAGTGACTGTAAGAAACGTAAGAGCCATCTGGAAACGGTTCAAGAACTACGGGTTCATTCTTCTGCTGCTTAGATCCAGATGCTGAGATCGTTGTTACTATAAGGAATAAGATTTTGATAATTAATTATATAAACAATCTATACAACAAACAAATAAACAAGTGATTTAAATAACTAAAAATAAAGATAAGAATAGAATAAATAAAATTTTGTTAATTTTAACTAGGTCATATATTCGAGGTTGTTTTTGTTGATTTCTCTAGATAGGTTATTGAATTATTAGGAATCAGTCTGTAGTCTAAAGTATTATTGAGATTTGAGAGTTTACTAAAGTAAGAAGAAGTGTTTAGGATGACAGTGCATTTCCTTTATCGGCGGAAAGAATGACTAGATTTGGATTTGACAGAAATTCTTTCAGGGCTTTTTTCCCGGATTGGATAATGTTAGTGGAGTAGGAAGCCTTTTAGTTTCTAAGAACTCTAGCGATATTAAGTCTAGATAATTCAGCATCTTCGGAAGGTAAACTGGAGATGGCTTCTTCAGTTTGGCAGATAACTGTTTTAATGGGAATGTGACTTGGTAACAGAGTAATTGAAACCTTTTGCTAAAGCTTGAGTGGCAATGCTTGAAATAAACTTGTTAACTACTGTGGTGGGTTTAAAAGTTGTATGTTTTGAAATTTGTTCAGAAAATAGATGCGCTATTTTGCGCTTCTGAATTTCTTTCTTAGTTTCGAAATTGTTTAGGGCTGTCTGTGTGTTGATACGGTCGAAGCTGTCCCATACTATAGGATGTACTTGGAAAGAATGAATAGATGGCCAGATATTAAAAATATTCATCATCATCATCAATGGCTTTTACAACTCTTCGTGAGTTTTTGCTGCGTTTACTATTGCCTTCCATTGATTTCGATCCTGTGCTATTATTTCCCATGACCTTACTTCCATCTTCTCCAGGTCTTCCCTGACAGCGTCTTTCCACCTTTTTCTAGGCCTTCCTGTCGATCTTTTACCATCTGGTCTTTCCCAAAACACATTGCTAATCAGTCTGTCGTCATCACTCCGTACCACGTGGCCTACCCATCTTAATCTATTGGCTTTTATGTATCTTACGATGTTTCCTTTCCCGAAGAGAGTCTTTATTTCAGTGTTGTATCTGTTCCTCCATTCATTTGTCACGCTGTCCCTGCAAGGACCATATAGAATTCGCAGGAATTGAAAATATTGGTATTTGTGAAATCTAGTTTTTGTCTACTGGAATGAATAGCTTCTTTAAGAAATGGCTTAATGTTAAAATGCTCTAAATTATCTTTAGTACTAGTATTGTCGCTGATTGCGAACAAACTGCCACTAACGAGATGGTATCAAATAGCATAAATACAGGCTTTCATCTACTTTTAAAAATAACACATTCCACCTTTGATATCTAATGCAACATACGAAATTTTAATAACTTTAAGAAGTATTAGAAAGCAATATTAAATTAGAGAGTTATATAGAAAGAAATCAAAAGTTATAGCTACGTCACATAAGAGATTAAACGCAAACAATAGGAAACTAATAAATTTGTTAAGCTTGGTGCAAAAAACTGATATTTTTCTGCATTATATTCAATGTATCCGTAGCCGGTCTTAGCTTTTGTCGAGGAAAAGTTCTGAATTGAGTAGGGGCTCTTTAAAAAACCGCGCAATAAGGACTTGGTGGAGATGTACTCAAACCCGACACGGCGCGACCTAATAGCTGATATGAATTGCCTTACATATAGGATAGGTACGAATAAGGCATCACCAAATAAGTATCCGCGGATCAACTGAGGATATGGCATAAGGCAGCAGCTTCAGTCATCATGTGATGACTGAATCAAGGCTACAGTGGAATGATTTCTGCTCATAACTACAGACTCGTGGGCTAATATCAGAAAAAACCATCACAAAATAATGATAAAAGTTAAAAGTTAACGGAAAAACTCTTAACCCGGCAACTGTGTTGTGGGGTGAAAATAACCCACGTCGTTCATTACCGCTTGTTAAAATAGTGGCAACATCGCCAGATTCGTCTGGCGCCACGAGTACCTTCCCATAATATAACAGACCTTGTATTGCATCATAAATTTCAGTATATAAATAAGATTTGAATGAGTGGTGTCGCCTTCTTTGGACTTGTGGGTGATTTTAACCCCACCACACAGTTGAAGTGCAGTATTATTTAGTTTTTGGGTAATTTTAACCCCACAACACCGGTTAATTATTAACAGGTAAGTTCTTATACTAGCACAACTTATCTCGATTTTTTTAACAGAAACATAATTTAATTGTTAGGAATATTGAAAATTGATTAGATATTCTTAATTTCAGACATATCGAAATATGTGTAGTTGGGAGAAAGAACAAGAAGCTCTCTTGAAGCTTTGGCAGGATGAATTAACTGGATCAGAGTTAGGATCAGAAAGCGAATCTGAAAATGAAAGTCAGCAGGTTAGCCTTAGTTCCAGTGAGGATGTTTTACAAAACCAACTTCAATCAGTGGAAAATTGTCAGCCTGGAACTTCTAATCAGGAAAGTCAATCATCGTCGGAAGAATCTTCTCAAGACAACAATAAGTTTGAAGATGATAAAGTAAGACAATCTAAGTTTTTTATCGGACGGGATGGGAAAACAAAATGGTCAAAGAACTGTCCTAATAAATCGGTTAGAACACGACAAGAAAATTTAATTACTTTACTTCCCGGTGTTCGAAATAATGCAAAACATTGCAAATCACCCATTTCTTGCTGGGAATTATTCATGGATAATATTATTGTAGAAGATATTGTCCAATGCACTAATAAAAAAATCAGTTTAGTCGCTCAGAATTATAATGACCAACATAAATATATCACCAAGCCTACGGACGCAGAAGAAATTCGTGCAGTTTTCGGATTACTATATCTATCAGGCGTTTATAAAGCCAATAGGTTAAATCTGGAGGATCTTTGGGCTACAGATGGAACAGGAATTGACATTTTCAGGCTAACAATGTCCCTGCAAAGATTTATATTACTTTTAAAGTGCCTACGATTCGATAATATCGAAAATAGAGACGAACGAAAAAGAGTAGATAAACTGGCAGCTATACGAGCTGTTTTTGATCGATTTGTATCCAATTGTCAACAATATTTTATTCCTAGTCAATACTTGACGATCGACGAAAAATTAGAATCTTTTCGGGGACGTTGTTCCTTTCGGCAATATATCCCCAATAAGCCGTCCAAATATGGCATTAAAATATTTGCCTTAGTGGATGCCAAAACATTCTACATTTTAAATTTAGAGGTATATGTTGGCTCACAGCCTGAGGGACCTTTTCAATTTAGTAATAGACCGTTTGATGTAGTAAACAGGCTTGTAAATCCAATTCGTGGTACTAATCGCAACATTACATTCGACAACTGGTTTACCAGCATACCGCTAATGGAACATTTGCTTAGTGAACATCGGTTAACATCTGTTGGAACTATTCGTAAAAACAAGAGGGAAATACCGACAATCTTTTTGAATTCCAAAAACAGAGCTGAAAACCACGCAATTTTCGGATTTAAAAAAGACATTTCTTTGGTGTCCTTTGTCCCGAAGAAAAATAAAATAGTGTTAGTAGCTTCTTCACTTCATCATGATACAGAATTTGACCACAAATTAAATAAACCTGAGATTATAGACTTTTATAATCACACAAAAGGTGGAGTGGATATGGTTGACGAAATGTCTGCGTTATATAATGTGTCTCGTAATAGCAAGCGATGGCCACTAACAATTTTTTTTTTCGCTGCTTAATAATGCAGGAATAAATAGTTATGTTATTTATCAACATAACAAGCCAAATGAAAAACTAAAACGCAGATTTTTTTTAAAACAACTTGGTTTGGCACTAATTAAACCATATATTGAAAAAAGAGGTAATAATCAAAGAATACCATCAGACATAAGAGCGAAACTAAAAAGAAATGACAGCGGAGAGGACTCTCAAGGACCTTCAAACAAGAAACAACGAACAACATCCAGATGTGGAGTGTGTCCCCGTGGAAAGGACAGAAAGTGCCAAAAGAAATGTGTAAAATGTGACATTTTTCTTTGTCTTGAACATTGTGTATATTTTTGTTCTAAATGTGCAAATAATTGTTAATTATGCTTTTTAAACAAAAGATCATAGTTACTTTTTATAGAATTTGTAGTTTTTTTTTATTCTATATCTCTAATAAAAATTTTATTAACAAAAATTGTGGTAGTGGTTTAAATATCAACTAAATTTTAGTATATTTTTTGAATCGTTGAATTATTAACGAAAATTTTTAAAATGATTTAACTTTGAAAAAGATTATATAACAATATAACCATGATTTAAAATCTTAAGGTTGCATGTAAAAATAAAATATTTTCTCAATTTTATAAATAAAAAAAAAATGGGGTGATAATTACCCCAACACACAGCTCCTGTTAGAAAATTTCACCACACAGTCGCCGGGTTAAGAAAATACAGAATTACTATATGTTCACCCTAATAAATCACACGACTGATTACTCCAAATAAATTAGAATGGTCACAGAGAAAGCACTTACAATTTTTAATAAACTGAGGAATGTACTTTGTCCAAGGGATTTGAAACTGCAGTTAAGAGGAAGGGTGGCAAGGTGTTTGTATTTTTTCGACACTACTATATGTAATGAAGGCGTATACCCTGAGAGAAGCGAGAATTAAAAAACACATTAACATTACAGTTACAATGCTCTAGAAGCATTGTAACTGTAAGTATACAGGAGAACTCTGAATATATCATGAGTTAATTATGTAGTAAACAGTGAAGTCATGACAAGAACGCATAAGAGTACGACAATAATAGAAACCATTAAAACTAGAAGGCTGCAGTACCTGCGATAAGTTAGGCGTGGCGAAAGCCATGACGTGCTTTAATTAGTTATGCAAGGAAAAATCCAGATAAAGAGAAATATATGAAGAAGAAGAATCTTGTGACTGCACAACTTGTGGGAATACTATTGATACTCATCTATCACACTTTTAAGGGCAGCTGCATCTAACATCAGAATAGCCAAGATAGCACGTAAAT